GGCTGCAGGAACCCAGGTAGGGGGGAAGCAGGGAAGGGATAGATCAGCCTTCCCCCCGGGGCCACCCTGCAAGCAGCAGTCGGAAGCCTCCAGGGCAGCTTGCCCAGCAGCTGGAGCACCAGCACCAGCCAAGGAGGATGAGCAGGGGCACGTAGGCAGCTCTGCTTGGGAACGGCCCGGGATTAGCAGCCCAACTTCTCCAGCACAGAGGGAATGGGGCCAGAACAGCCTCGGGCCACGGCGGTTGCTCCATTCGCCACCCTCACCGCGAACCAACCCTGGTGACAAAATGCTGCTGCTTGATGATCCCAGCAAAGCTGGAAGGTGCCTGGAGCACCCAGACAGCAGCTCCTCTGCTCCCCGACAAGGAGAGGAGTGATTTCAGCCAGCCAGGAGGGTGCTGAGACAGGCTGGGAGAGGACGTGCCCTCAGCACAAGGGCAAGATGCAAGTGGTGTGACGGGTAACTCTCTGGGGCCCTGCCTGTCAGGGGAGGTCTGGGATGTGATAAATCACACTGGCCATTTAAAATGCAGCTGGGTTTAATCCAGAAGGCAAGAAGTAGGTCATCAGAGGAGCTAAAAGCCAGCAGCAATTTTCACACAAGTGAGAGGGTCAAACTGTGCCCCCTCCCACCAAGGTCAACGTGAGGGCTGTCACCACTCCCAAGGCACATTCCTTCCCAGCAGCACGACCCAGCACACAGGAGCTGGGACACCTCTACCATCAGGGAGAGGGGGGACATGGAAAGGCCACACTGCCCTGCACAGCACCAGGGTCCACAGCCAAGCAGCATCAGGGGCTTGTGTCCTACAAATCAAAGGCTACCATCCTGCCCGGGCAGGCTCTGCACCCCTGCACAAGCTTTGCTCACCATCCCTTGGGCTTCCTGCACTCACCCTGAAGTGGTGGCTGCAGGAAGGCTCCCAAATGGCTCAGTCCTTCCCAGAGGCAGCCCCACAGCAGCTCTGTCCAGGATCTCCCAGCAGCAGAGCCATTCCCTGGGGCCAGCAGAGCAGGAAGGCTCTGGGGCCCACAGCCCTGCTCCTGCCCTGACAATGCAAGCCCTCAACCAGATCTAATGGAGCAATGCCCCGAGTCAGTTGTTCTCACTGTTTGCAGAACCCCAGCCACAGCTCAGACATCCTTAGAGGGACAACTGGCTTTATTTGGTATGTCACAACATTTTAGTGTGTATTTAACAGCTCTGTAAAATCTTAGTAAAGGCAGCTTTTTCAGTTAAACACCCCTCTGATGCCTGTGGAAACCTGACAGGCAATGCTTGGCTTTTTTTTGTACTCCCAGCTGCAAAATGCACAGGGGCTTTTTGATGTTAAGTTTCCTTAAGCTGCTCTAATGCCTGGAGCGGCATGTGGGGGTTAAGGGCACAGCTGAGCATTCAGGATCTGGGAGAGAGTAATTCTTGTTTCACCCAGGCTGCACCCAGCCTTTCTTTGGGCTGCCTGGTCGCCAAGTCAGATGTTGCAGGAGCTAAGGAGGACCAGGAGAATTCAGGAGTTGAAGGTGAATGAGGAATGTGACCTTTGCAAACAGCACCAGACAGTTCTTGGTGACCATCTCAGGCCACGTCTCCCTGACAGACTTGACAAAACCAAACCTTTGTGGTAGGAACTGCCCTCAGAGGCTGCTACACACCAACAGAGGCTGGCAGAGGGTGAGCCTGACAGGGAGCCACCAACCAGCAGTGAACTTTTCAGGGGTCAGCAGGCTTTGCCGTCCCTCTTCGATCACACAGCACAGCAGCAGCTCTCACTGCAGCCCTTTGGCTTTGCTGCTTCCCCTGCAGCTCCCAGCAACACAAGATATGAAGGTTAAGGAAGCTTCCTCCACAAGCAGGAAAGCTCCTGAGCACCCACTCAGGTGCTGCCAGCCCCAGGCTGATGTGCACAAGGAGCTCCAGGGGAAGCCAGCAGCACCCCATCCCAGCCCCTCCAGAAGGGAAGAGCAGTGGGAAAGGCCAAGGCTTTGGCTGCAGGGAGGTTTGCAATGGGCACTGTCACTCCTCCTGCAGCTCCTTCTTCTGAAAGGCCTGGAGCCTCCTCCCCACTGTCTGCTGGACAATCTCCAGACCCTCCACATCCAGTTCCTTTGTGAGAAGCAGGATGGCATTCAGGACATTGTTCTGTTGGGACAAGACAGACACTGCTTTATACAAGCATATTAAGGCCAGCCTGGAAAAGGAGAGTTGATCATAAAATCATGGAATGGTTTGGGTTGGAAGGGACCTTCAAGATCACCTGGATCCAAACCCCCTGAATGGGCAGGGACACCTCCCACCAGCCCAGGTTGCTCAGAACACCATCCAGCCACTTCCAGGGAGAGGGCATCTGAAATTTCCACGGGGAACCTGACTTTGAAAGAGCTTCTCTTTCTAGGAACTCCAGCACCATCACCACGGGCAGCACCATGCAACAGCCACCTGCAGCCACAGGGACAGATGAAGAAATCCCTTGGGGCAAACAAGGGCAGGGACTGCATGTGGCCAGCTGGAATGCAGGACAATCCTGTCTGCCCAGTCCCTCACAGACTGCCCACATGCCTCTGGCTCCTGGCCACCCTCCCAGCTGACTTCTGGAAGGAAAGGAGCATTCAAAAGCAGCCACCCTCTCTCTCTCTCCAGCGTGACTGCACGTAGGAAGGGAAAGGACAGGAACCCTCTGATCTGTGGAATGAGAAGAGCTGGTAGGATTGTGAAAGCATGAGCTGGACGGTGCCCAGCCCAGCCACCCAGCCTCCCAGGACTATGGCCAACACCAGACCATGGCTCTGTCAAACCACGGCTTGAAAAACTCCAGGGAGAGATTCCACAGCCCCTCCTAAATAACCATCCTTCTAAGGAAGATAATTTTCCTAGAGTCAAACCTGGACCTCCCTTTGTTTATTGTCTTCTTCTCCCAACGGCCAGAGCCTGCTGTACCTCAGCAAAGCAAAACACCCCAGTGCATGAAAAACATGAACAAAAAAGAGAACACAAGCAACTACTATCAAAATGAGGCAGAACGTGGTCTAGATGTCATCCTGCCTGTTGCAGGGCTAGTACTGAGCCCAGCAGACAGCAGTTCCCAAGATCCATGAGGTTCTCCTGAGGCTACACTGTGGAGGAGGAGTCTGAGGAACTCAGCAGTCTCCTGTCCTCCAGGCCAGCAGTCTGATGGCTGCACTTCTGTCAACTCCTCAACCACCATGTGGTCTTAGGACAACCCAAGTAAGGGACACGATGTGGGCTCACGTGCAGACAGATCAAGAGGACAGACTTCACATGGCATGTCTTAAAGGCAGAGTGGCACAGAACAGAGGGGACCTACAGTGATCATCTGGTCCAACTGCCCGTCCACTTCAGGGCTGACTAAACATTAAAGTGTAATATTAAGGGTATTGTCCAAATGTTTCTTAAATCCTGCCAGGCTTGGGGCATCAACCACCTCTCCAGGAAGCCTGGTCCAGGGCTGGACCAACCTCTTGGCAAGAAATGCTTCCCAATGTCCAGTCTAACCCTGATGCAGTCCTGAACTATTCCCACACGTCCTGTCCCGGGATCCCAGGGAGAAGAGCTCAGCACCTCCCTCTCCACGTCGCCTCCTCAGGAAGCTGTGGAGAGCAAGGAGGTTGCCCCTTAGCTTCCTTTTCTCCTTAGCAAGCAAGTCCAAAGTCCTCAGCCACTCCTCACAGGACATTCCTTCCATCTTTGTTGCCCTCCTCTGGATGCACCCAAGGACCTTCACAACTTTCTGAAATGGTGGGGCCCAGAACTGCAACACTGAAGAGCAACTTGGTCTTTAAAAGATACTCACTCTCTCCTTTTGGCTACAGTCTGTCTCTCGAGGTGAAAAGGAGGAAAATTTATCCCTGGGAACCGGCTTCATACCAAGCTCCTCTCGAATTTTGCTAGAGAAGGAGAGAAGGAGCAAATGTTATCAGTAGCAGCTGGCAGGACCTTCCTCTGCCAGGCCAATCCCTTCCAATCACAGGCAACCATGCAAGAAGCATCTAGCTGAAGGACTCAAGGCATGTCTGTTCACACACCACCACTGCCTGCAGACCTCAACACCCCAAGGAAATCTTTGTATAGCTATAAAATGTGAACTGGCATGTTGTTGTAAGGTGCCTGGCTTGTGGGAGGGTTCCCATGGCCTGCTGGGACTGCAGACAGTGCCACATTGCACTTGACCAACACGTGCCACAGCACTGACGTGCACCAGAGCACGTGGCAGAAGCAGAGCTAAGCAGGAAGGGAGTGGAGCTCAGGCTTCAGAGAGGATCCATCTCTGCCTGCACAACACAGCTAACAGGCTTGGGAGTCAGTCTCCACCTACAGAAGAGCCTGTTTGGCAGATCCAGACCCAGACCCGCAAGGGCTGTTACACCAGCGTGGTAACTGGAACAACAGGAATTTGCACCAGCTGCAGGTCTGGCCCATGGAATATCAGGGTTGGCTGGCAAGGTCCTTTCATGCTCCATGCCAGTTCAGCCCAGAAAGCCTAACAGCTCATAAACAAGCCCTCACTTTGTCTCCTCCAGAGTGAAGCTGAGCAGTTCGCTCTCCGTCTCGGCTGCAGACTCAGCAGCACTGGATTCCGAGGAGCCGGGGCAGGCGTTGTCCACCCCCCTCCTGGATGGTGGGGCTGTGATCTCCTCACCATCCACCAGGGCCTGGGACAGCTCTTCTTCTGTCACAGCTGCAAAAAAAGCCAAATCCAAACCCTGCTGAAACGAACTCCCAACAGCCCCAGAGGACAGCACCTGTAACGGGGCAGGTACTGCTGCTGCAGAGCCTCGACACACGGGTTTGCTCCCAAAAATTGCCCTTAGCACCTTCTCCTTTCATCCTCCTGCAGCAAGACCAGCTCAGGAGAACACTGGCAGCTGTCACCAAGACTCCCAAAATGACGAAGGTACCAGGGAGTGATACAAACACGCTTTGTTATCTCTTTGTCTCTGGAGAAGGCTCCAACAGCCACCAAATTACTACCACCACCGGATGGAAAAGCTTCTTTTTTATTCCCCTTTTTCTTTTCTGACCACAGGTCCAATTACAGTGCCTTTGTTTTGCCACAGCAAAGGAGAGAGCTCTAAAAACCCACTAATTAGTGGTGCTGCCTGAGCTATAATGAGGCACTCCCAGTCCTGCTAGTGTTCACTCTGCAGGGAAGGGAGGAAAGAGCTCAGAAGCAGCGGATCTTGCAGAGGGGACACTCAACCTCATCCTGACTCAAGGAAAGGAGGCCTTAAAAGAGAGAAACCAGCACGTCACCAGTTCCCAGCTCATCACCAGTTCCCAGCTCACCCTGCCCATGGCCCAGGGCTGTTTTGTTTCCCTGCAAACACCCACCTTGGTTATCCAGCTTCTGCAGGCTGGGCAGGTTACGCAGCACGGTCATCCGGTAGCGGTGGGGGTCTGACCCACAGCAGGGGTTTTCAGACAGCCACAGGACCCTCAGCCGGGGTAGGGTTTTGAGGTAGAAGAGCTCATTTAGGCTTGTGATGTTGTTCTTCCTCAGGTAGAGTTCAGTCAGGTTCTGGCACTGACGCAGCGGCTCGAGGTCGGAGATGCCGTTCACGCTGAGGAGAGATGGTGGGATGGGAGCAGGGAGTCCATCCCTCTCTGGCTGTGCTGCTCAGGTGGGAGCACAGCAACCCCTGTAGCACAGCAGCTTTCCAGCCCCCCTTTCCTGCTGCAGCTTCACTGAGGAGCCTCACCCCTGCATGGCATGGGGGGTTCAGGGGCCCATGGCTTTGCCCGGGAACAATAAGCACATCCTCTTTCTAAGCAAAGAATTTTAAAAGCAGCCTTTGCTTTCCGTCCCCAACCACTTGCACCCTCTTCTGCAGCAGTTCCACAGATTCACTGAAGAACCAATATTTCCAAGCTCAAAAGCTGGGACAGTACTGGCTCCATGGAATCCCCAGGACAGGTGAAGGATGGGTGTGTTGGGGGGAGGCTTATGGAAATGAAAAGCTCTGTGAGAGCCATGAAGCATTTCAACAACCATTCTGCAAACTGGCACCATACAGAGCCCCAGGAGATCCCACCTGAACTATGGAACAGGACTTGGGGAACAACAATCCTACGAGGCTTTAACACTTCTTGAAACCAGGATTATTTCCTCGAGCAGGAGAGATGCAGAAGACTCATCATTTCTGCACCTCTGCTGCTCAGGAAATCAGGCAAGAGGAGCCAGGCAGCTCAGACACACCATCACAGGAGGATGGTAAGAAAACATGGGCCAAGGCACAGCAACGAATGTCCCCTGCCCTCTCCCAGGCCAGCAGCCTGACATTCACCTGAAGGTGATCACCTCGATGTTGGGCAAATCCCGGCATATCGATATCTGGGCGGGAAGAGACAGAAACAGCCAGTTGGCACTCCCAGGAGAAGAAAATGAGAATGACAAACAAGGGAAAAAAAAAAAAAAAGAAAGGAATTCAGGTTTGCTTCAGCCTAACCCCAGCTTAACACCACCTGGGAGCTTTGCTGCCACAGCCAGTGCAGAGTCAGCAGCTCCCCTGCCCAGGAGAGCAAGCACAGGCACCAGCACGATGCTCTTCTGCTCCAGCAACTCTGCACTCTCCGAGATGCTTTTCCAGCCACTGCACACAAGGAGGGATCCCTCCCAAGCCCAGACAGCCCCTCTCCTAAGAAGCCTGCCTCATCCCAACTCCCAAAGGCACGAGGCAAGACTCGGGGCCCTGGCTCTCTGGGCGTCTGCGCAGGGGCCTCAGAGAGGAATTTTCCAAGCAACCTCATTTTTATCTTGTTTTTGATGGGATGCAAATCAATCCCGAGAGGCTCTGCAGCTTGCCAGCAGCCAGCCAGCTCCAACCCAAGCCTCTGCTTTCCTCAGGGCTTCATGGATCCCCATCCTCTCCGGGTGCCATCTCCACCAATCCCGGCCTGATGTGTCCCCCCACGGCAGCTCCACGGGGACCGTGCCGCCCCAGGCCGGGCCAAGGTTTAAGGTGTGAGGCCAAAAGTCTCAGGGCTAGGATCGACTATGTAGGGCAAAGGATTTAGTATCTGTG